CTTAGTAATAAATATGTCTGCATCCAAACTGTGAGTGAAGGTTTTAAAACAAAACATGATTTAAAAAACTTTTAATCCATGTGGATGATTCTACAAGCTGAAGTGCTGTTTCAGCAGGTAAAAACCCAGCACTTAACTTCACAGCATGTGTGGGAGTTGCTGTTTTACACCTCTGAGAGGATGGCCAGCTTGTGTAAACTTGTGGGCATATTATCTGTTAAGGTGGTTATCTAAACAATTTGATTTGTGAATTAAAATACCTTGTTTTGGTATCTGTAGAGAGCTGGGATAGCTAACTACATGTTGATCTTCTTGGTATGCGTGAGAATGCGTGAGAATGACATTCCTGTCTTGGGCTGGAATTTCATGACAGAGGGGGCACGCAGGCTGAGACATGCAGTGCCTGGCTTGTCTCTGAGATAAAAAAAGTAACTGATACTATGAAGGAATCACTCTGAAAAACTCTGCCGTTGTATTCCAAATTTATGGTAACTGAGTAATTTCTAGGGCATATTTCTTCACCTGAAAAGGAAACAAAATAATTGTTCCTAATTGGCAGTTTTGCAGACTCAGTCAAATAGGTTCTCTCTGCCTCACAGTTCATAAATGATAAAAAAAATGCTTTTAGAGTGTAATTAACAGTTCTCTAAATGTCTTAACTGGCATCCAGCCCCTTTTTCCCAAAGTTATGTTAGCTTTGCAAAACAAACAGGAATAAAATGCAGTAAAAACAATAAGGTAAGCATATGTAAGAGGATGTCACTTTACTTTTAGAAGTGCCATTCATATTCTACCATTCTTAACCTAGCAGATTTCATTGGCAAAAATTTGCCTTTTATAGAAATATGAAATGCAATTTAACGTTTCCAGTGTTGGAATTAAAAATAGTGATTGTTATGCAACACCTTGAGTAGGATGTGTATGTTAAGTATCAAACTGATTACAGCACGTTCACTGAAAGGAGGACAAAAGATGGATTCTGCAGTTCAGCATCAGGGATTTTTGTGCTTTATGAAGTGAGCAGTGTGTACCAGAAGTTACAAATATTTTTCTTTCATGTGTAGAAGGAAGTGATGTATGCCATTAGATATATTTTTATAGCAAACCTCATCGTTTAGCCCAATTTCACTGTAGCCATGGTGCAGAAGTAAAATCAAAGTGTGTCCAGTATAACAGTGCAATAAAAGGAAACTGAAGATGTCTTTGCATGATGTCTTCCTTTTTTTCTTTCTATTATTTGTTTTACAGAGCTGAAGGTGCTATTTTGTGTTACAAATTAATTGGTAGCATCACCAATTGCTAGCTTTTTCTCTCATTGTTTAGCCTTTATTATTAGAAATGTATACGTAAGAATGTCGACGTATTTTGTTCATGAAAAGTGCCATTATTAGGGCTAAGTTTCACCATAGAATCTATGTAGACAGACTTGGATGTGTGGATAAATGAAGAATGAAACTATGCATATTATCAATTATAATGTTTCCCTTATCTCTGGTAGACAAAATGAATTACACCTTTAATAAAGGGGGAAAAGTTATTAACTGGGATTTCTTCGACAAATAGAAATTACCTATCTCTGTGACCTCTTCTTGTGTCTAGCCACATATTACTAAAAGCAAAGGCATGGGCTGATGAAATTTTTGATAGCATATACTGAATTCATATGAATGGATTTCAGTATGCCTAATACGCACAGCTGAGCTGTGATAATCCTGTTGATCTGTTCTGCTACCAAGAAGTAAATGTAATCACTTTAATTTTCCATCTTGCAAAAACAGGAGGGCAACAACGTCTTCAAATGTGTGTCAGCCAGTTATTTAAAGATGCTCCTGAGATGCTGTGATGCGGTATATTTTATCTTATCACTTAGAAGGTGAACTGGGACCAGAAATCCAACATTCACAGGCAGAGATGCTCTTTAAGCTGATATTAAATCATAAAAAATATAAATAGGAAAAAAGGAAACAGACTTTATGAGCTAAAGAAAGCTGGTAAAAAGGGTTTTAGTCTTATCAGTGTTTAGGGGGAAAAAGATGTACTGGATGGCAGAGCTTTAAAGCAAAATTATGAACACAGATAGCTTTTGAGTGATCAGAGAAAATGCCAACTTTTTTTTTTTTTTTTACATCATACACATAACAAAGAAAATTGAAGCAAAGTTGTTAGAAAATAATCCCCCTGGGATGCATGTAAATACACAAAAGCTTAGAACTTGAAACAGAGCCTCGGGGAATTAAAAAATGCACAAGGAAGATAAAAATGAAATTATTTATGGTCACTAATTGAGAGCATTGACAGGGGGACTAGAAAAATCCTAACACACTCAATAAAAATCACATTCTGTGGGAATTCTTCCAAGAGACTCAGGACTAAAAAAAAAATATTATTGCCTTAGAGGACATAGAAAACATGTAGCAATAACCACTCTGCTGACATTTAACCCACAATCAATGTGAAAGTCCTTTGAAATCACCTAACCAGCATTTTTAGTAATAACAAGAGATTACAGAAAACTATGAGACAAATTCTGATACAGGTTTTCTTTTAGAAGAATATATTGGAATGCTACATAGGAAAAGATTTTTCAGGCCATAAGTAGACAAACACTGCCCCCAACCAAGTTTCTGTCATTCTCTGCTACTACCCAAACAACCCTCTTATCTGCCTTACCAGCTTGTCTCTTCACACACACTTTGCAAGATGTTCTTTACTCTATGTGAAAACCACAAAAGACCCCTCAATATTTTGACTGTTCTAAATATCAGTTTGTCTGCTTATTTTGATGCAGCAATCAGGCCATTTCCTTTTCTTTGTGTGTACGAAGTTTTATATCATTAGGGTTTTATTCAGTTTGAAGTAACTTATGAAGAAGGGTTAAGTCAGCTTGTATAACAGTTTTGCTCCTAAAAAGTGCTGATCCCTTGTCTCCTGATTCCATGAATATGCAGCAACTGAGTTATAACAAAGATCAACTTGGCTGTGTTTTATCCTCTAGTCATGGTGTTCATGGCTGATCACTTCTTCTCCATTCTGACGTGGCCTTGATATACCCAACAAGCTTAATGCTTTGGGCTTTTGATTGGCTTTTCTTCTGAGTTACACCATAATTCCAACAGGAAGTCACTGATAATAAGGGATTTCCAGCTGGAAGGCTCAGTAGCTAATTTAATTTAGATTAATGTAAGTACTAAGCTGCAGTGGTGCCACTCCAAGATCCTGCCATGTAAAATAATTGCAATAAGCTATAAAAAGATAGTCTTTTAGCAGCATTTTTTGACTAGATGGGAGAACAGAGCACCACACTGGTCGTGCCAAGATGGGCTAGTGTGATTAAAGGTATTTGAGGGGAAAAAAAGTGTTGTCTTAGACCCTTGGGTTGTTCAGGGAGGGCAGACCCTGCATCTCAACAGGAGCGAACAGAGCCTTTGTCTGAACCAAGGGAGAAGAGAGCTGGCATTGGCAGCACATGGTGAGGGTGCCTGTGATGTATTAGCCAGTAGTCCTGGATATCCCTCAGTATAATGAAAAAGCAGTAAGTTCAGCAAGAGACGGCAAGACAAAAGAAGCATTCTTGCTCAGAACAACACCCAAGATTTTAGGAACTGTTAAAAAATGCAGAGATCAATTTTATTCCTATGATCCGTTCATTTGAAATTTCCATTGAAGTAGTTCTGCAGCTCTTTCAAACTTTTAGTCACAGAAACAGTGATACAGTCTGAATTTTGTTTTTAAAAAAGCACAAGAAAAGCTTTTTATCCAAGTGCTTTCTTGTGTGTGTAAGATATTCCCAAATTAAATAATGTAGGTGTTGGGAGAGCAACCCCTACACTCTGAATTTTACAGAAAGGTATTCATGAGCTTTTCATTTTCATGAGCTTTTCATGAGCAGGCATTCAGAATGCCAAGAAATTGCTTCTGAAAAGAAGATAGCACATTCCACAGAAGAATTTGCTATTATGTCTACTTAGCTTTTTCAGATTTGTACTAAAAGGTAAAATAGGATGAGGAAGTAAAGAAAAGCCACAGTGTGCAATAATCTGTCAGGACTTTGAGTATTAACTGTTGGAAGAAGTATAAGGCTTGTGAGGTTCAGTGAAAGCCTTGAATAAATTTCCAATCTCTAAATTAAATTAATAACCATAGGAGGAAACATGAAAGAAATGGAGATTTTTATATAGAATTTGAAAAGGGCTTGTAAAACATGGAGAATCAGCAATATCGGCTGGTATTGTTTCCTGATGATTTGCTACTTTGTACTTTTAATATTCTGTAGTATCCAGTCTTGAGCATGTAAGTTGTGGCAATCAGCCTTGTTCTATGTGAGCATTTTATAATCTTATATCAATCTCTCTTATGCTGCTGAAGAGATCAATAGATGTTTCCTGCTGAGGGCGTTATCTTTGATACCAACTTTTTAATTAACTTTTGTCCAGAGCTCAAAGAGCAATGTTTCACAGTAAAAACTCTTCATGTACAAAGGAGATCTGACATTTATCAATTACGCTTCATGGTACCCGGTGGAGTGATCAAACAGTCAGGAGCTGTAGTACTGTTAGTTTTCCAGTGATGGCAAAATAGCACAGATGCCCACATCAAATGCATTTGCGTTACTCCAGACCCTTTTTGAACATGTTTACCACTCATTTTGTAAAGAATACTCTGACAATACTGAGATCCCATTGTATATATTAGATACGATAGAAAAGGTAGTAAATTTAGCATAGTTTTAATTTAAGTTGCTGTCTTTATGAAAAGTCAATGAAAAAACCAAACCACTTTCCCTTCCTCACTGTTATGACTATACACTGAGAGTTTGTTTTGCTGTCCATTGGACATCAGGGAGGCATTTTCCAGAAGATGAAGCTTTGTTTCATCATCTGTACCAATGCACAGGTCTATGCATTTGGCTTCCTCTTTTGCTATTCAGGCTAAAATCTAATTTATCAGAAGTGAATCAGGTGTAGCACATGAATGTATATGACTTTTCCTCTTTTCCTTAGGGAGAGCACTCATCCAGACTGGCGGTTGTGTGAGAGTCCTTTCTTTTTACTGCCATCTCTGAACAATAGAGCTATTCCAATTCCATGCTGCAAAAGGGAGACCCAGCACAGTTGGTAAGCTCCTCCACTGCTCACACCACAGTCCTCAAATATATGTCTGAAAGACATAATTCTTACTTTGTGTTTATTGGTAATTCTTAGGATGCTTTCCAGAGGGGGTACAGTTATATTCTGTTTAAAAAAAAAAAAAAAAATCTTAACAAATTTAAATCTACAGCTTTCTAAAATTCTAAATGAAAATGTATTACTTGATATTCCTTCTGTGTCTGTGTTACTTTCTTCTTTGATTGTAGTACTGGTTACTGACTATTTGAGTATTTCACTTGAAAACTGTTGGCACATGACAATAATCAAACTAATGTGTAAAAAAAAAAGTCAACAGGAACAGCTGCTTTGTAATGCTGAGTGTCAGTGTTTGTATTTGTGGAAGGGGCTTTTACAGGATATCTGGAAAGCATTTCTCTCCCTCTCTTTTGAGATCCTATATATTGAAAAACTGTTGAGGTTTCAAGAGCCACTGTGTTTTAGGAAGACTTCCTAAAGACACCTTAATTCCCAAATCCCCCTGAGAGCCTGTGCACTTTTCAGCAACAAAGCTTCTGCCTGTGTTATTACTGTTTATTTCTTTTGAAGGAGGCACTAACATCAAGAAACAAATGGCGATCTCTCCCAGCAGTCTTATTCTATTAAGGATAGCTGTTACTGTGTCTGCAGCACTGTACAAAGCATAGGATATAATTTTTTGCTTGAGGTCTGTTGATTGCTTTGTTCATCTCTGCTGGTGACAGATTAGCTTTGCAGCACATCCATAGGTCACCAACCACCCTTTCTGTATTTGTAGTGGTCAATGCTGTGAAGAAGGTTTTAAATTGAAAATAACGCTTCCTTTTGTTGGCTTGTATTTTGGAGACCCAGAACTCTGTAGCAGAGGTGCCATAGGTCATACTAAAGATACGCTAGGAATGCTACATTCAAGAGCTATAGTAGCACCTGTCTCTCGTTATACCTGCTGTCAGCTGGTCCTATCTGTCCATGACATTTATAAAATTCTTTTCATAAAAAATTTAAGGTTAAAAAACTGTTAAGGAAAAGTACACTGCCATAGTTTGCTAATGAAAGAAGGAAAGGTTATTTTATTATGAAATGTACAAAGGAAAGTACTGTTCTTCATCTTAGCTGGATGTTTTCTTCCTAAAATGCAAAAGCCCTTATCTTTTATATTTCATCAGGTTTCCCTGAAATAGTTCTAATTAAATACTCTTTAAGAACTTACTGCTGAAGCATCAAAGGTGTGTCTTAAAACAAGATAAGAGATTTAATTTTTTTATGGACTCTGTAAGAATCTCTTTACAAAAAAATCTTAAAAACAAACCTGTATTTTCAAGGAAGATGATGGCATATTTTGACAAAAATTGAGGTAATAAAATAAGGGTGCTAACTGTAGTTCCAACAAATGGACAGATTCATCCACCCTTTTTTAAAAGGACGATGTTTCACAAGTGTGAAGCACAGTGAAGTCCCAATTTTTTATTCATGGAATGTGTGCTGCTCCAGAAGCCACAGGAACCCAAAACAACACCAGTGAGGCAGGATTAGTATATATCTGGCCTGATACAGAAATTTGTCTTTTACTTCCTTCATGTCACTTCCAAATGGAGTTAGCTATTTTTCAGCTAGTGAGAGAAATACCCATCATCCCTCTCATTGTTGGGACCAGATTTTAGAATGAAAAAGAAGGTGTAGGCTTTTTAAGATGGAAAATACTGCCAATTCTAAGCATTTCATGTGAAATACATTGTCAGTGAAGCACATTATTCTGGACAAGCAGACTGATTCCAAGAAGGAAGAGCCCTGTAAAGAAGTGCATTGGACTGCATAGACAATCTTGGAGGTGGATTCTGCTGTTTCCTGCAAGTGTGTTAATTTGGTTCTTTCCTCTGTTTCCCCTTTTGTGCCTAACCAGCAGCTCTAGAGAGAGTTGGAAAGGACCCATCCCTTCTATGTAGATGAATGCATTAGATAGGGCAGCTCCATTGTCAGCTAAATTGAAAGCCACAAAACTCAAGGAGGATAAATCAGTATCTAGATACAACATTATAAATATTTTACTCTTTGGCTTAGATAAATAGACTAAAAATACAGCACCACGCATGCTGCAACTAAAGGGTTTCAAATTAGTTAAAAATGCAAGCTAAAACTAAACTCTTGTCCTTTAGATTCAACTAGGCTGTTTCATTTGAAATGATTTGCATTGTTTCTTCACTAGATCCACTCAAAAGATGGCCATACTTAATATTCCCACCAGCTGGAGGGGCTTTGGAATGAACTTTCGTTTCTAGAATAACCTCTGTTATTGAGGGCTTTTTTCTTTATTTATTTTTATATCCGTCTCATAAGTTGTGACATGGAAGTCTTATGAAGTCCTTATTAGGGCAAGCAGACACTTCCTCTCTCCTGTCTTCATTCTGCTTCTGTCAATGACAGAGCCAGAATTACAGTTGATAAATATACCTTCACAAATGAAGTACTTGACATTGAGAAAAAAACGCTGTGTCTGAGCTAATTTATTCCTAGAGTCAAATATGTTCTAGCATTCCTTACCTTTAAAGTACTTATGCCAAATATGTTTTAATAGTAATAAATAAAGACTTCTCATCTCCAGATATGTTCAGAGTGAATGAGCATTCAAGTAGATTTTGTATCCCTGCCAAAATACTATTCCAATACAGATTGCCAAAAGAGTCCCAGAGAACAGTTATCTTCTTGAGAGCTAAAAAATGTGTCTGTATTGTGGGATAGACTTACTTGTCAGCAGGACTGTTCAGGCTTTCTTGGCCCATTCTTCATTCAAGATAGAACCTTTTTAATGGATCCTGCTGCCAAAAATGGTTACAGCTTTCTTGGGGTGTTGATAACTGGTCATGCACGTCATCAGTTCTGTCCTGCTATGTGAAAGGAGAACCAACCACCTTATAAGGATACAATTTGCTGGGTCTGATGTGGAAAAGGATTTTGAAACCACTTTATATTTTATTTCTATAAAAGAACAAAAAGAAGAAAATATGGATTATCAATATACCCAAGACATCACACACAGTTAAACTGGCAGCACAGCAAAAATGGCTTTTATAAGACCTGCAAGCTTTGATATAAAGGGGAGAGGCTGTTCATGGAGCTTGCAGTGACTGACTATACTTTGAAAGTCACTCTGGTTTCCTGGTAGCTTTTCCAGATCTAGGAGGAACACAGTGAAATGCTACTAATTTTTAAAGTGAAGAATTTAACCGTAATATTTATAAGGGAAAAGGCAGTTCTCTGGCTGTCTTTAAAATTTTCAGAGTTTGTTAAGAACTTTCTTCTTTAGTGTGAGCCTAGTTTGCCATGCTTATGTTTTTCCAGTTGTGAGTTTTTGTTATCCAGAAACAGATTCCTCAGTGGAAAACATCTTCAAGCTACATTGTTGTTGTCTGCTGAATGCACTCTAAGCTCCTGTGTGATCTTCCTTTTGGGTTTAAAATCAAAACTTTACACCCTCTTCTGTCCATGAATTTCTTGGCATTATTTGATTAATACGCTCAAGTAGGAGAACTAATAAAAAAAAAAGCTATTTCTATTAATTGTTGATAATATTATGTAGCTTCTGTATAGCTGGGTTCCTTCTAAGGAGCCAGTAGTTTGAATCCTGAAGCTCGTTTGTGTCCTGGTGCTATGATGTCAAATTATTCACAGCTGTATAAGTGAAAGAGTTAGCCATATGGAAATAATATTCTAGGTCCCTTGCAATTTCTTCAACAGCTCTTCAGCCAGCTCTGATTTAAATCTCTTCCCAAAGTTTGTTCAAAAGCTCTGGCACAACTAAAAGCATTACCTGATGTTTTGCTCACTCTCTACAAGCTTTATAGTATCATGGAGAAATCATTATGGGGTAACAGTGAGGATGAGCTGTGCAAATCTGCTTTTCTGTACTGGATTTTCAAACAGCTTCTTAGTACTGTTGGACTTGGCATGACTGGGTAGGAAAACAACTGAAATTCAATAGCAGTTACAAACTATCTGCAAACAGTTTTAATAGTCACTTCAAAGTAGAAAAGTAGACACCAGTGAGTTCCAGAGAAGACTTCAGTGTGTCAGATGGAATGACAGAAAACCTTGAGTCTCCCTGAGTAAGAATACATGCGAGCACTTTGATGGCAAGCCTTCCCAGTTTTTCCTGAAAAGGAATCTGTGTCTGTCACTGACCATTTTTTATCTTGCACCCATTTTTTGTGTTAATCAAGATGTTTCCAATCCTTCTTTATAAGTTATCCAATTCATACTAATGTTTCAGACTGACTTATTGCTTGTGTTTCCAATCCTGTTTTCTTAGCATTTCAAATCTGTTGAGTAATCTGCAGTTTCATCAGGAACTTCAGTGATAGTCAGCCATTTCTTCTGGAGATTATTGACAGTATTCTGTTCAGAAAGAGCTATGACATGCAAAAGATTTTTTGGGCCATGGGAACATGGGAAACACATTTTTAGTAATGTATTCACACTTTGTGCCTGAATAAGAAAATGTCTATAGGGTTTGGTTTCTTTTCTGACCTACAGACCAAATACTCTGGCTGTGGAAGTAGACTGTACCCTCTTACATACAAGTCCACTTATAGCTAAGCACTGTAATTTGCATTCTGAATAATGAGGATTGCAACCGATTACTCATCAAAGTGAATGCAAATGAAAATACAAAGCATAATTACCAAATATTTCACTACCAGGAAACAATGATACCTAGGCAAAGAATTAATACTTCAGTCTTTGAAACTCTTTTTTTGCAATCAGTTCAGTTGCTGCTGAAATGCACCCATGCAGCACAGTAGTTTTAGGTGGGAAGTGAGGAAAAGTTTTTCCAATTGAAGCTGCAGGACCAATTTTGATAGTAATTATCTGAGGTTGGGTCAGCTCACTGGATGTTATTATCTCCTGCCAAACTAAAAATGAATTTATGAAAAATGAAACCTGTAATGATCCTAAGTGGTGAGACCCTAGTAATGGAAGTCACACAGAAATACA